CTCACAAAGAGCAAGCAGGTCTGGTGAACTTTGCAAGAGATAAGACTCAACAGAAGAAATGTTACTTCAAAGACCACGAATATTGGTGAATGATAGGTTTAGCGAATTTGGTGATGACTGTGGTTTTTTGTATTTTATAGTTTTTGTTACTTTATTCATTTTTAAATTTGTTAAAGAACTTGACTTGAAACATTGATAGTACTCAGTACACTGTTCTATAGCTCAAGCAATTGCCTCATTTCCACTAATAAACCCTAAGCCATAACAAAGGGCTCCAATGTAACCTTGGCAATGCACACCAAAAGTACAAACAGGGACACCATCCATGCGCAACATGGCACTGTTAGTACTCTGATATTTTTCAGCTGTTGATGGAATCAGCCTCTCTGAGAGCTACCACAGAGTTCGGGAAACCTGACTACCAGCCGGCCTCAGAACCATAAAACTGAGTTTTAGAGCTGTACTCTCATTTGGAGATAATGGAATGAGTTGCCTAGTCATAAAAACAGAGACACAAGCAAAACCCATGAAACGAGTCAAGATGATCCAGCGTTCAACATCCTAAACTGGAAACAATGTATTAAAATTACATCTGCGCCAGCCTAATAGATGACGAAGAGGTGCGAGGCTGGTCAACAGATAGAATCTGTTTACCCCTTAAGTCTTTGCCTAGGAGGCCTTCTACAAGACAGCAGCCCGATGCATGTAACATCTGCCCAAGATGAGTATTTTTATCGAGACACCATCTCTAGCCTTTACTCAACCAAGAGCCCCAAGGCAGGGGGTGTTTTATGTCGGAGTTTGCATCTCCTAGCCTTTGTCTAAAAAGGCATATCCTACAAGGCAGCAGGACATGAAGCAGATTGTACTGGGTTACATGTTACCAGTAGCAGGATAAACCTGACCTGACTGAACAGTTCAGAACAATTAATTTTTAGTTCAGAACAATTTAACAATTTAATTTCAGAACAATTTTCAGTTCAGAACAATTAATTTTTAATTTCATGATGGATTTTCAGCAATCAAATTTTAAAAATCAGTAGTTGTTAAGCAGATCAAGAAGAAAGCATTGTTTATGCACTGCTGCATCCGATTTCTCAACTTTGCATTAGATGATCCTATTAAAAAAATATGAAACCTTATTAAAGAGATGAAATATGCTCTTGAAACTCTGACAGAGATTATATGGAAATTATAACAGTAATGTGTTCAATCCTTAAATAGACCACCATTTAGGCTAAATCTTTGAGTAGTATAATTAGAAATTACATGTGTCTAAACAAGCTTTTAAAATGGGCTGTTAATAGTTATTTATCCTCATGAACCATGTCTTACATATTAAATAGGTTCTGCTACAAGAAATTCAATCCCAACATGGCCCACACAACCTGGCAAGGTGTTATTAAAGAGACATGTTCAAAATTGAAAGTATGAATCTGATGTAGATGAGGTATTCCTTATGGAAGCAACATGTGCTTATCACAACACATGCTTATTAAGCATGCCAGTGGTCGTGTCTACAGTTTGCTGTACTACAGTAAGCATGCCAGTGTCTACAGTAAGCATGCCAGTGGTACAGTACATGCCATGTACTGTACCATATGTACAGCACATACCATGTACAGTGGTACAGTACATGCTACAGTAAGCATGCCGGTGGTACAGTAAGCATGCCAGTGGTACTACAGTAAGTCTACAGTAAGCATGCCAAAGGTCATGTCTACAGTGATCGAATCTACAGTTTCTATTTGTCATCTCGCACCGTTAACCCAAGACTCACCTACAGTTCAAAACACAGAATCTAAGTCCATTGGAGCAATCTACTGAACACTAGTTACAAGAACTAGATGAGAGTGTATTATTGGATCTTCCTATGACATCCAGTAAATCACAACCTTCAACATCGAGTGAGTCTTAACCTTTGACATCAAGTGGGTCTTTACCTGCCACACCGAATCAGGTTGAAAATGATATTTTACCAAGACAATCAACTTAAAAACGCACAGCTCCAAATCAGTTAGACCTTTAAATAATGGACTACTTTAAAACTTAAATATGTTGTTGTATTAATATTTCTTCTTATTGTTTTAGTTAATAAAAAGTTAAAAAGTAATAAATCAAATATTGACATTTATCCTTCAAGTTCATAACAAGTTCATAATTTATTTATTGTAACTATTTGTTTTTTGAAGTTAGACATTTAAACTAAAAAAATAAATCATTCATTTAGCTTTAAAATAGTTTTTTTTTTTTGTTTTTACTTTCATAACAAGTGTAGCAAGGTCATTAATTTATTCAAAAATTAATAAAACTTACTTTTCAAATGTTTGTTGTTATCAAGCTTTTTACTCAGAATTTTAGCGCAAATTTAAAATCGAACTGTTCATTTAGCGCAAATTATTCTTTCAAATCGAACTGTTCATTTAGCGCAAATTATTCTTTCAAATCGAATTGTTCATTTAGCGCAAATTATTCTTTCAAATCGAATTGTTCATTTAGCGCAAATTATTCTTTCAAATCGAACTGTTCATTTAGCGCAAATTATTCTTTCAAATCGAACTGTTCATTTAGCGCAAATTATTCTTTCAAATCGAATTGTTCATTTAGCGCAAATTATTCTTTCAAATCGAATTGTTCATTTAGCGCAAATTATTCTTTCAAATCGAACTGTTCATTTAGCGCAAATTATTCTTTCAAATCGAACTGTTCATTTAGCGCAAATTATTCTTTCAAATCGAATTGTTCAGTTAGCGCAAATTATTCTTTCAAATCGAATTGTTCATTTAGCGCAAATTATTCTTTCAAATCGAATTGTTCATTTAGCGCAAATTATTCTTTCAAATCGAATTGTTCATTTAGCGCAAATTATTCTTTCAAATCGAATTGTTCATTTAGCGCAAATTATTCTTTCAAATCGAACTGTTCATTTAGCGCAAATTATTCTTTCAAATCGAACTGTTCATTTAGCGCAAATTATTCTTTCAAATCGAATTGTTCATTTAGCGCAAATTATTCTTTAAAATCGAACTGTTCATTTAGCGCAAATTATTCTTTCAAATCGAACTGTTCATTTAGCGCAAATTATTCTTTCAAATCGAACTGTTCATTTAGCGCAAATTATTCTTTCAAATCGAACTGTTCATTTAGCGCAAATTATTCTTTCAAATCGAACTGTTCATTTAGCGCAAATTATTCTTTCAAATCGAATTGTTCATTTAGCGCAAATTATTCTTTCAAATCGAACTGTTCATTTAGCGCAAATTATTCTTTCAAATCGAATTGTTCATTTAGCGCAAATTATTCTTTCAAATCGAACTGTTCATTTAGCGCAAATTATTCTTTCAAATCGAATTGTTCATTTAGCGCAAATTATTCTTTCAAATCGAACTGTTCATTTAGCGCAAATTATTCTTTCAAATCGAACTGTTCATTTAGCGCAAATTATTCTTTCAAATCGAACTGTTCATTTAGCGCAAATTATATTATATTATTCTTTAAAATCTAGCTGTTCATTTACATGTTTATGGCAATTTTAATGTTATTTAAGACCATAAAGTTTAGTAGAAAAGTTAAGCCTTAGTATGATTATGTTATGATAAACACACACGAAGAAGAAAAATATTATTTGAAAAACATATCAATTAAAGCAACTAAAAATAGAAAACGCTACAGTGTTACACAAAGAAAACTCTAAACAAGTCATAATTTGCCTAACAGAAGTTATTAAAAGCAATGCTTTTATAACCAATTAATCATTTACCGTTTCGTAACAGGATGCAAAAAATTAAAAACAAAATTTTTTCAACCTGACGCCAGCTTAGTATGACACTCTGATGCTGATCTGAAATTCTTTAAATTTTGCAGACTGGTTTTCTGAAAACATGCTTTTCCAAAAAACATTTATGTAAAAAAAACAGCATTCCAAACAAACTACTGTTACTACTATTAAAAACGAAACATAACTAAAAACTTTTATAACAAGTACAACAAGTATTTTTAACTTAGTATTGTTAATTTTTTGGTGTTAACTTATTTAATATCATTAAAAAAAAATTTTTGTCCAAAATTATTTACAATAATAAAAGCTATTGACTTTACAAAAAAATATTGTATAAAATTTTTTGTTTACTTAAATACATTAACTTGTTTCCTTCATATTAGGTTGACATTTATTGGCTTATTTCTATTTTTTATTCATTTATTGGTGTTTGTTTTTATTTGTTTATCCTTCAATTAAATGTTCCCTCTTTTTTGTAATGAAAAAGTCATAAAAAAAACTTGTTTTTAATAACACAAAGCTTACACCTGTTAATTGATTTCAAAAGATTATTATTTACATCAAAGATTTATGGCTGAAATTTGTACAAATTGTATTTAATTTAAACAAGTAAGATTTGAATTCTTTGTTTTTATTTAATATTAACTTACAAAAATTGGTTATAAATTCTTTCATTTGGTTGTACTATAGACCTGTAAAATTCTTTCATTTGGTTGTACTATAGACCTGTAAAATTCTTTCATTTGGTTGTACTATAGACCTGTAAAATTCTTTCATTTGGTTGTACTATAGACCTGTAAAATTCTTTCATTTGGTTGTACTATAGACCTGTAAAATTCTTTCATTTGGTTGTACTATAGACCTGTAAAATTCTTTCATTTGGTTGTACTATAGACCTGTAAAATTCTTTCATTTGGTTGTACTATAGACCTGTAAAATTCTTTCATTTGGTTGTACTATAGACCTGTAAAATTCTTTCATTTGGTTGTACTATAGACCTGTAAAATTCTTTCATTTGGTTGTACTATAGACCTGTAAAATTCTTTCATTAGGTTGTAATATAGACCTGTAAATGAAAATGACATGCAACAATAAAATCAGAGTTACAGCAATTCACAATAAACAAATTTATAAAGATTTTAAATTGTTTAAATAATAACTTCTGAAGAAATATTTAAAACTAAATGTTTGCAGAAACTGTTAAATATTAAAATGAAATAACCTGTTTATTTATAAGCTTCACCATTTCAAGGTTTCCACTTAAACATGCTAGATGCATTGGTGTCTAAAAAAATAGAGATAGGCTTGCTATTCAAAGAAGTAACAGTTTTAGAACTATAAGTGTATAAAAAATAACTACCTGCCCAACATCATCTTTTTGTCTTGGATTGAAACCACTATAAATTAACAACTGACCTATTTCACTATGACCTAACAAAATGAAAACATTTATCACATTGTTCAGGTACCTTTGTAATTAAAAAAAATATTTTCAATGATACTTATTTGTTTTAAATTTGTTTTTTAAAGATCTATGCTTATGATTTTTTGTGAAGATATTTAAAAAAAATAAGAACATAATACAAATGTAAAACATACAAATATATACAACATAAACACAAATACACAAAATATATACAACATAAACACAAATATAAAAGATATATACAACATAAACACAAATATAAAAGATATATACAACATAAAGAAATGTTTCTTTATGTTGCTTTTTTTTTTTTTGTAGAAAAAAGGAAATTATTAAAAGGTTTTTTTTTCTCCTTTCAACCTAATAAATCTGAATTTTTGATGTTTTTAACATAAATCTATGTATAGATGCAACAATGATAACATGTGTATACACAAAACTAATGCGTTTTTGCTCTCACATCAAAATAATGTGTATATAGTAAAGGCATGCAACACCTAAATGTGTGTAATCAAAAAAGTTAGTAATTGCTTAATTAATTAATTAAGCAATTACTAACTTTTTATTATTGCTCAAAAAAGTTGTGGATATAAAAAAAAAAAAAATGTTAAAAAGTATTTAGAAAATAAATTTACTCTTTATCTGGAATTAGCTATTCCCAAAAACGTTTTATTTTTAACTTAACCAATTTTTCCTATCTAAATATAGATTACAGGAGTATGATTCAGAGGGGAAATTGTTCATGTTTCCAGACAAGCTCATGCACGAAAAACAAAATAAAACTCTATCATACAGGCTATAGCAGTTAATTAAGTTAACAAATGAGGAGTTTTCATAAGTTTTCTTCTGGTTCCCTACAGTTACAATCTTTTTTAAAAAAATGCAAAATTTCAAAAGTACAGCTACCAACTGCCTCATCTTTTCATTAAAAAAATTACGATTTTCCTTATGCAAAATAATAATTATTCAAAATCTTGTATAACTTATCAAGGTAAATAAAAATCAATATAAAATGAAATTATATATGAACAAATAATTATCTGCAAAAATTCAATTGAAAAATTTTTTTTAAGCTTCACCGAAAAAAAGAAAGAAAAGGAATTTAAAAATTTAAAAACTAATAAATAGATTAAGAAAAGTTTAAAATAGAAAGTTTTCATTTGGAGAAATTCTAATTTTTTTCCAAATTGCCCATATAAGTTGTAAAAATAAATTTTATATATTTGATTTAACTGAATATGACGAGTTTAAGCCGAAACCAGTGGCGGATTGAAGTTTAGCATCGTGGGAGAGGGGGTGGCCAGGGGAATGAGTATAAGGCAAAAGGGGTTGGGATGGCACATTAACCTCTAGAAATACTGACTTATGACCATACTGACTTATGATGCCTATAAGGCGTTGTATAGATGTCTTAAGAACATCTGTACCTGCTTGGTTTATTTATAATTTATAGTCAATGATTTCAGCAAGCTCACATTGGTTAAAATTAATGTCCATCCAAAAAGGAATTTTTTGACATTTTTGGTCATAGATAATCTTTGATAATATGTAGTCTAACAAAACATCATAAGAAGATGAAAAAAGGAAGATTTTGTAAAGTATAGACAAATTAGGAAAACATGATGTCATCTACTTCTCTATTAAGAATGGATGCCTATCTTTAATTTTTAGTTCAGTTCAACATTTTCTGCAGTTTAACATTTTTAACATATAAAAATATATATAAATTGTTCTACAATCTTAAAATCAGTTAATTAATAATTTTTTGTTTTTCATCATTATAAAAAAAAAATTTGTTTACCCTTTGAAAGTCATTGTAATTTTATGAACACCTGTCACTGTACAGTCACAGTAGTTTTGATACATCGAACTATGTTAAAATTGACTCTGCTATATTTTAGGCCAAAATTTAGCCAGTTTTTAATAAACTAATCAATATTGCTTTTTTTGTGCAATTACTATTTTTGTTTTCTTTTCTTGTGCAATTACTTTATGTACAAGTGTTTTAAGCTTTTTTTTAGCATTAAATTTTGAATAATGTAGTTAAAAATTGCAAATCCTATTTTTTTTACTTTAAGGTTTTATTTAAAAAATAAATCTTTTAACATTATTGGTTGAAGTATTTTTATCATACTTTTTAATTTTTCATTTATAAGTATTTATGATTTTTAAATTTCATTAATTGTACCCATTTTACTGGTAAGCAATTTGTTTCATTGGTAGAACTAATGTTCAACATAATATTGATGTATATGATGTGTAGCATGCAATACCAAATGTATATGTTTAGCATTCAATACTAGTGTGCATATGTGTAGACTTCAACATTGATGTGTGTATACTTAAAATGCAGTAAAATGAGTGACATCCACTAATATTTAAGTGATATATTATAATGATTTATCTTTCATTTAAAAAAATTTTTATTAAATTAAACTACACTCATGATTTTAAGTACCTTTAAATGATGCCCAATGTAATGCTGAATCTCCATCAACATCGGTAAAATCTTTTCTTGCTCCCTTACCTATTAAATAACTAACTAGCATAGTTTTTCCATATTGAGTTGCAATGATTAAAGGTGTGCACCCTCTTTTATCTGTTGTATTTATTGATACACCATTAAGAAGTAATAAGTCTACAGTTAAAATTTGACCATTTACACAAGCCCAATGAATTGGTTTTGAGCCTAACTCATTCAAACTAGCTTTATCTAATGGAGCATTACACTGTATGAAGAATCTTACTATATTATTATGACCACCTAAGCATGCCCAATGCAAAGCAGTATGTCCTCTTTCATCATGTTCGAGTAGATATTCTGTGCCTTTTTCTTCTATTATTTTCTGACATCGAGCTAAATCTCTAAAAACATCAAAACAGTTATTAGTAGTATATAGAGCATGCATTTGTTATCTTGTCAATTGCAAGATATTTAAAATTAAATTTTAGTTTTGTACTTTATAACTTTGAGATTGCATTAAAAATTTACATAAAAAAATAAAAAAGATGCATAAGTATGCTAAAGTGCACAAATAAAAAAACGAATGTAACATTGATATGAAAAAGATTTGATCATTTAATTGCTTTAATGACATTTCTTGTAGTACTTGATAATTTATTTAATATACAAAACAAAAAGCTAAGTAGTAATTTTTAATTTATTTTATGTGATATTTCAGTCTGATTAGCTCTGATTTTATTTTACCATTTTTGTGATATTTTTGTTGTATTTTATTTTATGTCTGACTGTTGTCAGACGTAAAATAAAATACAACAAAAATATCACAAAAATGTATGTAAAAAACTGTTAGGAAGTACCTTATTTCATAACTTGTTTGGGCATAATTTATCTTAGGGGATTCTCTTATTTTTCTTTCATGGTAGTTAAAATTAAGTGCGATTATTTTGGGTGCATCTAATTAAATATACCGTGGCTATAATTGCAGTGAAAGAAAACTAAGAGGATTTCTTGAGATTAATTATGCCTAAATGAATTACACTTCCCACCGCTTTTGAACAAGGACAACAGTGTTAAAATTGTGCCACATAGCTGAAGAACTCTTTTTAAAAAATAATTGAAATCTCAAAGTAGTTTTCACCTTACATCAGTTCATCTTCATAATGCCTTCTTAATGGTTTTTTACTTATGTTTTTTGTACTATTTTTATAGTACTTTATTTTATGCCTTACGACAGTCTGAGTTAATCAGACTGAAATATTACATAAATAAACTAAAAACTGGTCTCAATCAATAGTTCACCTCAAAGCAAGAATGCACCATCTAGGGTTTTTGCTTAGTAGAGAAAATTTTTCTCCACCAAGCAAAAACCTAGATGGTACATTCTTGCTTTGAGGTGACAATATCTATGTTGAATTTGTTGAGTAGTCGCAAGCTCTACCAATACTACCCAAGTAAGTACATCAAATGATCATAAAACTAAATCAAATGATCATAAAAGTATATCAAATGATCATATAAGTTGTATGTATTTGATACAGTTTATTAACTGTAATAGGGTTCAAAATTCCACTTTAAATAAAATATTGAAACTTATTCAGTCAAAGATTCCTTTGTTAAACCAACTGCCAATGCAACCACAAGTTGTCTTAAGACAATTTTATACTTCAAAAGATGCTAACAGTAGCCTTAAAAAATGTTACAAAATGTTATAAAACATACTAGTAAAATTATATAATTAAAAAGATAATACTTTTAATATAGTTTAAAAGATATTTTTATTAAAAATCAATTTTTTATATACCTTTAATAAAAAGATATACAAAATAATGATTAGACTCCATAAAACCTGAGGTATTAAGAGATTTAATAAGTTGTTTTATTCTTAGAAACATGTGAGAATTAGAACGTGTGATTTCATTTTAGTTGAGAGTCAACAGTTTAATCTCAGACATCATTTTACCAAAAACATTGAAAATTTCAATAAAAAAAAATCTTATTAAGTCTTAACATGTATTTGCTTAACAGTCATTAAAAATTGGCTTTTTTTTTTAAAATTGCCTTGCGTACCCAAGCATTTTCAAATAATGACATTTCTTTATTTTTGTCAAAGTATAAACTATAACTGGCTGCATTGGGGATTATTCTATTTTGATCACAAAGTTATTGAGATTACTTTTTGATTCAAGTGATGCTTTTATCATATCAAGTGTTGCAATAAAAGCAATTCTAATAATTTTAATTCTAATAAAATTTAATGTTCATAAAATTAATTTATTTCCACAATTTATAATTAATTCAATTCTAATCGAATTTAATGTAATTTGAGAATTACTCTCTATACAACAAAAACAGATCTAAAGTTCGTGATGGTGGTGTAGCCACTTAAGTTCGTGATGGTGGTGCAGCCACTTAAGTTCGTGATGGTGGTGTAGCCACTTAAGTTCGTGGTGGTGGTGTAGCCACTAAAGTTCATGATGGTGGTGTAGCCATATACATTAGAAATGATTTAACTTAATTAGAAATTATAGATAATGAGTTATTCAAAGCAAAAAATGAGGAAATCTGGGCTCAAATTATAATAAGCAACCATGAAATATTAATTATAGGATGTATCTACAGACCACCTAACTCATCAATTGACGTTTCAAATGAAATAAATAAATCAATACAAAGAGCTTGTAATCTAGTCACCAAAAATTAAAAATGTAAGCTGTTAATTATGGGGGATTTTAACCAACCTGATATTATATGGGATAATAATGGCAGCAGACTTGAAAAGTCTGGTGATCCGTGCAGTATTGCATTTAAATATCTGATTGATTCTAAATATCTAACACAAAATATAACTGCACCAACGTTTTTTAAAAAAACTACTTAGATCTTATTTTTACAAGTTTTCCTGAATCTATCTGTAATACAACAATTGGACCAACACTCGGGTCTACTAGCTGTAATTATTTAGATTCTTCAGTAAGCTTTAGTTTAATAACTGAAATAAAATCTATCGCAGTATGTCGAAATGTTTTAAATCAGTTCCATATTCCATATGGAAGTCACCTTTACTCAAATCTCTAAATATTTAGACCTAAAATTTGATAAACTTTCCAATAACTTTGATGTTAATGATATGTATGAAAAATTATTATCCGAAACTAATTTAGTTATGGATAAATTCATTCCTATTCGAAAAAATGTAATCTTAAGTACCAAATTCAGACCAACTGGCTAACTAATAATTTAAAAACCCAAATATGATTAAAAAAAAGCCTTTGGTGCTCATTTTTAGCCTCAAATAAACAAGATTCCATTTAAAAAAAGTATTTGTCACATTGTAAATCATTGAAGAAGCTTAATAAAGCCAAAAAAATCAATTACGAATCCAATTTGATCAAAAAAGCTAAACTAAATCCAAAATTAAAAAAATGCATATGCAAATAGTAAAAAAACAAATCATCAAAAACTACAATCCCTCATAACAAAGGATGGCGTTACCTTAATTGATAGACAAGAATAGATCTGCAATCAATTCAACATTCACTTTTATAATGTATTCAATTTGGCCCAAAATAACAAAAAATATCCTGAATTTAAATCAAGAACAAAATCTATGAGTCCATTCAATACTGATATTTTCAAAAGCTCAATTATTAAAATAGAACTTGAACTGCAAAAAAAAAAAAAATACAAACAAGCTGGTTCTGATGGGATCTACCCATATTTATTAAAAACCTTTTCAGATATTCAAAAATATTATCCAAAATTTTTAAACGTTCATGCGAAGTAGGCTATATTCCAACAAAATGGAAAGAAGCAAATTTGACACCAGTATTCAAAAAAAGGAGCAGAACAAACCCATCAAACTATAGACGCATTGCTCTCATGTCTGTAGCTTGTAAAATTATGGAAATAATAATAAAAAAAGTAATCATAAAACAGCTCATTGACAACAAATTGCTCTCCAACCAACAGCACGGTTTGGTTAGAAATAAATCTTCCCTGACGACCTTATAAGAAACATTGGACATCATAACCGAATCTCTTAACTTCAGTGCCTTAGTTGATACAGTATTCCTTGATCTCGCTAAAGCCTTTGATTTAGTACCACATGACGCTCTTATCACAAAACTTGAAGCCTATGGTATCAAAGGCAATCTTTTTAAATGGTGCACTTCTTTCATTAAGGGAAGGAAGCAGAGAGTAGTGATGGGTGACTACTACTCTGACTGGCGCAATGTAATTAGTGGTATTCAACAAGGTTCTAGTTTACGACCTCTATTCTTCATTATATTTATTAACGATTTGCCAGAAGTGGCAACAAATTTCATAAAGCGTTTTGCTGAGGATACAAAACTAGTTGCGGTCGTAAAAAACCCAATGGACAGCATTTCATTACAGAATGACATCGATGCAACTACAAAATGGGCTAACGATTGGCACATGAAATTTAATAATGACAAATGTAAGGTTATGTATATTAGAAAAAAATCAAATAATAACATTTATAAACATAAGTATACAATATATGGTCAAGATTTACATGAAACTATAGCCGAGCGTGACCTTGGTATTGTAATTACAAATAACTTAAATTGCGAAATCCAATGTCAAAAAGCCGCTTTGAAAGCTAACTATATTCTCGGAATGCTTAAAAGAACTTTCGATTATTGGATTGTAAAATTTTGTACACATCACTTGTAAGACCTCATCTTGAAACATTTTCTTCAGCATGGAATCCTTACAGGAAAAAAGACATCTTGAAAGAATACAAAGACGAGCTACTAAGCTAGTACCTTCTTTGTGTAAACTAAACTATGAATCGAAACTCAAATTTCTTGGTTTAACCTCCCTTAAAGAACGAAGAATTAAGAGAATGTTAATTGATTATTTTAAAATCTCCAACAGCATCATAAAAGTAAATTGGCAAAACCCAATAAATCAGCCATACTGGCATCAGCTCTAAGGTCCTGCAGGAGCGATTAGAAATAATCAACACCCCATCATCAAGCAAACTAAGATAAAAATTAGCCAAAGAGAATTCTTCTTTACTAATAGAATTGTTTCACACTGGAATCAACTTCCCAGAGAAGTTGAGGCTGATAATGTTTTCCAATTTAAAAACAGACTTGATAAACATTCTAATAAGTGACAGATTATTGCAAATCAATTGGACTGCCATAGTCTACAAATTATTTGTAAGATTCACAGAATATTTCTGTAGCAGTTGTATCTATAATAAATAAATAACTCTAATAAAAATTAATGCATTAACATATGCATTAACATTAAACTAATAACTTGTAATATATAATACAGGCTTGGTTGGGAAGCGGGAGCGATCGCTCTCGAATACTGACCACAGAAATTATATTTAGTTTGGAAAAACTGGCCTGATTTTTTAGTC